GCAACCAGGGTGAACAGGTAGATTTGGGAACAAGGGGTGGCCTTGGAGGGCCTCTTCGGGCCATCCCTAGGCCGCGTGTGGGGTGAGGGGGGGATGAGGAGGAGACGGAATAGGAGGAGGAGGAGGAGGAGGAAGAGGAGGAGGAGGAGGAGGAGGAGGAGGACAACGACGACCACGACGACGATACAGAGGAGGAAAAGGAAACCGACGACAATGAGGGCAAGGACGAGGAAGAGGACGAGAAGGAAGAGGAGGAGGAGGAGGACAACGCGGACGAGTACAGAACCCTCACAATCGCCTCTTGGAGTTCTCTTGGGGCGTTTTGGAGGGATCTTGGGGTCCTCTTGGAGCTCTTTTGGGGGGTCTCGGGGTTCTCTTGGGGCCCTCTTGGGGCCCTCTTGCGGGTCCCTTGGGGGCCCTGGAGCGCCTTTTGAGGCCATCTTGGGGGCAATCGATCAACAGGTGGGGGGTCCTAAATGTGCCTCCCATTGTTTTGGGCCATCAAAATCGCCTCCTGGGGTGCTCCTGGGACGCTGTTGGTGGCGCTCTTGGGGCCGTTGTGGGGGCCTTCCAGGCCCCTTCTCAGGGCTTTCTTGGGGCTTTTTGGGGTGCTGCCTCACAAGCACATCGGCGGCGAAAAGGCGAGACGGCACGCATCATCGATGTCCCAACAGCGTTTGAAGGGTACTCGCTTCTTGGGGGGATACGAAAGCATTTGCACTGCCTTGTGGCCCTCGTCGGACTTCTTGGGGCCATGTCCGAAGTCACGTGGTGTTATCGAAGACGCCCACGGCGAATCACCGTCCGCCACCCCCTGCATTGTAGGACCCGCCTGTGTGGCCCAACGCTTGGCAACGCTATTGGACGATGCGTTCCCACAGCCGTTGTGGAAGCCTTTCGGGGAACACGTGGGGAAGGAAGAGATCAGGAGCGTGCTTTTCCATTAAGGCTCTCCAGCAGGTCCTCCTCAAGAGTGCTGTTATCGCTATGATATGCTTGGACCACGTCGCGGCAACGCCCGTCGTCTCTGTTGTCTATGCCCAGGCACGTGCGCACTGGGCAGACCTTCCGACAGTGTGGCAAGGCATGAGCGCTCTCATGCTCACGGCCGCGGCGTATCACTACAGCACCATCGCCGCATGCAGACCACTGGAGGGTCTGGAGGGCCTCAGCCACCGGCTCGCGGAGGCAAAGGGCAGGCTGGTAGGGTTGGAGATGGGGAAGCAGGCAGCGTCGAAAGACCTGGTGGCAAAGGTATACCGCCTCCTGAGATTCTCGCGTCAAAACAATCTTCCGCTGATCGAAGGGCTGGGACCTCCCTGTGACCGCATTGTGGCCTTTTCCCAAGCGAACAGAAACGAATTCGCCTCTGTTGCTGCACGGGAGGAAGTGGGCACGTTTGCGAGGAACCCATTGGTCCGAAAAGCCGCTCAACTGAAGAAACAAGGGCCTAACGGAGAGTTCCTGCTCGTCGGCTCCAATGCCCGCCCGATTGGCCAGCTCGTCGTCCCACTCTTCGTTCCGGCCGATGTTGCTGCGCCAGACCCAGGAGTAGCAGAGAAAGAGGGTCTGGACCTTCACGTAGCTCAGGTGCCCCTGGTGATCCAGCCGGAGCATGAGAGACTCGCAGCCAAAAAGAGAAGAAGGGGACACCTTGCGCATGGCCGTGATTGCATAGCAGGTGGATGAGGACTTCTCTTTCAGCATCCCCGATCTTACATGCCACTGTAGGCCTTGCAGCGAGTGCTCTGACCCAGAGGAGACGCAGCCACTCCAGCATCCCGTAAGGTATGCTGGCCCAGGGCCCTCTGGCCCTCCTGCTATCCAGAGCCAGCCGAGCGGGGCGCAGTCCTTGCCGGAGAAATGATGTCCTGGTACCTGGAGAGAATTGGCTTGGACGAGGCCCAGAGCAAAGAGAACCAGCTGAAGTATTTGCGCTCGCGCGTGATTATGGGAAAGACCGGCGGCGGGGTTGCGGGGATTGCGTTCGTTGGGGCCAATTCCAGTGGACCATTTCTGGACCGCTATGTCTGCATCAAGACCACCCGCGAAGAGGCAGTGCTCTTCGAGCACCTCGGACTCGCCCTGAAAGAACGCGACCCAGGAGACCCGGACTCGCCGACGCACCGATGGGTGAGGGGAGTGGTAGTTTCCGTTGCAGTGAGTGCAGTTGCCGTTAAGGAAGACACGGCCGCAACAGCAACTATTCGAAGGCCACGTGGGGATTGAAGAGGATAATGAGGAGAGGGCGGAACAAGGAGAATGAGGAAACGGATGGGGAGAGCCTCGTGGGAGCCTCCCGGGTCATTTTTGGGGCCTCCTGGTAGCTTCCTGGGGGGCCTCTTGTAGGCCTCTCGTGGGCATCCTTGGGCCTCTTAGGGGCTTTGTGGGGCTTCTTTGTCAGTGTCGCGGCGCCCCTGGCTCGTCTGGCGCCTTCGGAAGCCATCTTGAGAGCTTCTCTGGGCCGTGTAAGGACCGTTTTGGGGCGCCTCGGGGTCGT